TGTTTTAGGCAGTTTCCCCCCCAATGGAGTGAAGCCTGGAGCACTCAGCTTGTAACAGGGATGTGAAATCCTCCTGCTGCTCTGTGCCTATGTGAATGGTTTGTGCAGGGGCCTGGCCCCTGGTGCACACTTTGGTGATGGTAAAGATGTGACGTTCACTTGTGATCCTGGAAGCCTGTTGGATTGCAGCAAATGAAACCTTGGACATTCTCTGTGCTGTGCTGGGAGGCGATGTAGAGGTACCCTGATAGATATGGTTGCTCAGCACGCTCAGGATAGCCTTCCCACCTGATAGGTGAAACCGTTCCAAGCTTCAAGTACAGAAGCTAAACTTCAGCATTAGGCCTTCAGTTTTGGTAACTTAATGAAATGCTTTGTGCATTTGTGAAGTGAGCAATAAAGCTGAGCGTATTTGCTGTGAGGAAGGGCTGCTGTGTCTGACTTCTTAGTGTAGTGACAAAATCCAGAGGTCTAGTGGCCATTCACATAATGAGGGCCTGTGGGGTAGGACAGCTTACAATTTAAATAAGTCTGTTTAAGTAAGTATGGTTTAAGTGACTTCTGTCTGCCACTATCTTTTCTTTCTGCTGTCTGAGCAGAAGATAGGAAATCAGAAAGGGCTGAAACACGTTTCTCATGCACTGAGAACAATCAGATTCTGCCGAGCTTAGTCCTACTGCCTTCATCACGTACTCTGCTTCCTCCCAAACCAACCAACACCAACAGCCTTGGACTCAAGAGAGCATGAGGAAGTGGTGGTCTTTGACCTGTGGTGCTGTTGATGAATACCTGTAGCTAACACCCTGTCCAGCTCACTGTCCTGGGTATGGAAATTCCCCATCCTCCAGGGATCCAAATGCAGAAAGGTCTTGTTGTATTGTGGTGAGGTAGGGAAGAATGCTTTCCTTAACGTGCCAGGTTTTGATCCTGCCTCTGAAAGCTATTTTGACCTTGGCATGAGCTATTCTAATGCTTGGGAGAAGTCTTGGAGTGGCTTGTCTGAATCAGATGGAATCACGTAACTCTACCACAGATGACATTCAAGGAGTCTACTCCATCAGCAGAGCTAAAGGGGCTAAGATGAGACGAAGGCATGGGTTTTTTTCTGGATGTACCTCATACCATGAGGTTGATGCACCTTGCTTCAGACAGAGGAAACTCATGAGGAAAGGTTCAAAAAGATAGAGGTGGAAAAGGAAGAACAGAGTTATCCAGCTACTGATTTCTGCTCATCACCCAAGCTGTGTCCATTTTCTTAGTTGTATCCGTTCTGCAAATATATAACAAAGCATGGAAGTGATAATTGTTTTCTGTTTAAAACATTTTATATGATCAGTTACCTTGAACAAAAGATGGTTTCATTGGCTGACTTTATTTTTGTATCAAATGACTCTGGAAGATAAAAGTGGGGAGAATTCAATCTTTAGACCTTTTATAGCACCTCTAAATTAATGATGAGTTCTGCATCACTTCTCCAAACTTGTCACCTGGCTCTACTTCTGAAACTGTTTCCTTGCATTATTGTTTTATGGCATCCAAAATATTACAGTTTTCCTGTGGCAAACTATGCTAGCAGAAGCATGGTGAGAACTGATACAACAATTCTCTCTTTTTTTGAAACTTACTTGTTAAATGTATCTTGTGAAGCAAACTGTGGCCAGAAGCATTTGTGTATCATTTAGATATTACCTGGGTAGTGAGATCTTATTCATTTGTGATAATTGCCTTCTTTCATAACTCTTGCAAGGTAAATAGAGAATTCAGCTTCCTGAACACAGTTCAGTGTGATCACGTTTTACTCTAAATTAATATTTCTTGGAGATCATAGCCCTCTCTCCTTCCTCTCTGAAATTATATCACTGTGTATACATTCAACAAATACATGAATATCAGTAAACATTCATGAAAAAATATGTGCTGAATGTATATTTATGCGTATTCTGTTGCACAGAGATATTTCAGTGAGAGGGTTGTTAATTCGTAGATAAGTATAAAACATAAGTAGTAGTAAAGAGCTGTGCAATTCACATGAAAAATGTTATGATGTTAGAATGCAAGCTGTTATTGTTTACCCGAGTATTACTGCTAAAATGGAAACACACCTTTTGAGATTCCTGTTTGACTGTAGGCCGCAGCAGGAAGGTGAAGTTGAGTGGTTCAGAAAAATCAACAGCAATGAATAATGATTAGAGAAGGAAGCTTTCAGAATGAGATTTGACAAAACCTGTTTGAAGGAACAATGTGGCAATTTACTCTTGGCCCTGCTTTCACATGTGGTTTTAGGCTACATAAGGGAATGAATGGTGGTGAAGGTGAAAAGGTTACAATGGAAGGAGCTTACTGTCATTTAAGAAGGCAGATAATAGAGAAGGAAGGAAAAAAAGAGCCAAGAATTAAAGCTGCAGAAGGAGGATAAACAGTAAAACTGGAAAATGACAGAAGTACTTGCCCCTCAAGCAGCATCAGCTGGAAATGGGAAAGTAGGAAGCATCCCCGTTCGGTCCCCATGTGTTGCCTGATCTAGTTGAGAGGCATCCCTTCCCATGACCGGGAGGTTGGATTAAATGATCTCTAAGGTCCCTTCCAGCCTAGGCCATTCTATGACTCTATGTAGTGGAGCAATTGAGATCATGAAGACAAAGATGAGTGAGGTTTTGTTGTCTTGTAGGACTGACTAGCACCTCAAGGAAAGAAGAAATTAAGCAGGAGGGAGAGAACATAAACTGTGGTTGCAAAAGTTGATATGGAAACCCTGGTGAGAGAGGAGGAACAACCGTGAGCCGTGGTAGGGGCAATCCTTGAGGGAGCCAGGGTGCTTAGAAGGGGGCCCCCGTACAAGGGAAAATAGGGCTGGGAGTAATAAAAGAGCCAGAGATCTTGAGAACATGGTTCAAAACCACTGGGGTGCAGTGAGGGCTGGGGCTTTTTGGAGGCTGGAGACTGCAGGGAGAGCACATGGGGCTGGCATCTGGAAGGAAGCGTCTGGGACCACCAGGGCCATCCCAGCCTTGGGAACTGGGCACCTCCCTGGGGACAGGGCTGAGGCTGGGCTGGGACATCTGCCCAGGGATGGGTGGGGGCCAGGATCAGACACAGCCTTGTGGTGACAGGACTGGGCCATGGTGATGTGCATCACTACAGACAGCTGTCAGAGAGTAAAATGAGGAAGGCAAGATGTGATATTTGTGGTTGTAAAGATTTTACTGAGCACCTGAAGTCAATTAAGTGTCATAAACATCCTTAAGTTTTGTCACACTGTTCTATTTTTCAGCGTATACTGCTGTCCTCAAATATTATTTAAAAGTCGTAAGAATGTGTAAACAATTAAAAACGTGAGATAAAATTGTAGTAAGATTTGTAGCTTCAGGAACTGTGTGCTGATCTTGCTTGCCTTATTTATCAAAAGTTGTGTCCTACCATTGCATATGATGCATAATGTTTCAGCAATATAGAAGAAGAAAATAGTTTTCTCCCTAGTCTTTTTGTTTCTGGTAAATAACATTCCACAATTATAAAACATGCTGCATGTTGTCTGGAAATCAGGAGATTCTGTAAGATTCTTAGTGTTAAATACTAGTCTTATTCTTTAATCATTGCATTAATACATCTCCCAAAATGCTCTTGCTCTAGCAAATTTCTCCAAATGTGGTGCTTGGGAGCTGGTCATGCATTTACATGCAGTGCGAAGATATTCCTTCAGGCATAACTTTACTCAGAAATATTCTATCATTAATATGTATAAGTGCAACAGGCTTACATTAAAAGCAAGCCATAGACTAGGTCACTTCTAATCGACACAGTAATTCCTGCATGGCAATTAATATTACAATAAGATAAGTATGTAAAAAGTGTGGGGGAGAATATACATGTACTGAATTTTTGGAGGCTAGGTAACCTTTTGATTGATGACACCACACAGTTCAATTCAAGTTGCTTATTCTGGCATGGTATTAAAAATTGGTTTTCTGTACTAAATCTCACACTGTTGCTGTAGGAGAAGAAGGAATAATGGATATTAGATAGCGGAAATCCACATGGGAAAAAAAATCTTACTTTAGACAAGGCAGTTTTAGGTAATTGTCATCACTTGCCATTGCAGATGTGACCGTCTCTCTCTAGGTCACGTTGGACAGCTTTTACCATGTATGAATAGATCCTGTAAGCGGGACATGCATCCAAAGAGTAAAAAAGCAATTGTTTATTGATTGGCAACCATAAAAGACAGGTAGGATTTAGTGAGCTCCTAGACTAAGCGTCAGTGTGTGTCCTGTCCACACACACAGCAAAGACTCTTTACTGGCCCTGTGGCTGTGGATGGGGTGCAGGAAAACTGCCCTTCTCTGCTCCCTGTAACAGGGCATCGTTGCTGTCTGCCACCTGCTTGCTTTCCTTCCTTGGATTTGATGCCTCTCCACACTGGTGGTTTTCCTCCTGATTCCTTAAGCTGGTAACAAAGTCAGTGTCACCAATCCTACCTTTGTTTGCTTTTTTACCTTTCTGATCTTGCATGGCTGTACTCTGTACTTTCTCTGAGGTCTTTCTTGTAGTTTGGCAGTTTCCTTAGAATTAATCCTGAAGCAAGGTGATGCTTGCTGTGCTGCAGCAGAGCTAGACCACAGCATGCTGGAACCTCCAGAGGGAGGTCACACAGCAGAAGCAGTAAATGCTGAAGTCCTATATTTTCAGACCCTAAATGAAGAACTTTAATAAAATTAGTTATTCTTGAAATTTTAAGTGCCGTTGTTGATGTTTTGGGAATTTCATACAGCTTTATTTTTTTTTTAATATTTTTAAAAAATTTATTTTAGGGCTAAACATTTATTCTGTGGCAGTGCTTCTATTACAAATATTTTAGGTGTTAATAATGTGTTAGAAGAAATGCAGCTTGAAAAGGCAGCAAACACCACTCCTGGCTTTAAATGCTCAGTTTACATCCCCTGCAAATCTTTCGGAAGATTTTCCAGATACAGAGCCTGCAATTGTCCTTTCTTCTGTTCTAGGTAATGGGCCCCATCATGATCGAGGTTATGTTTACAACCAGAGCAACGTAGTAGATGGAGTGTACTGTCTCCCAATAGCACACTGGATTGAAGTCTCTGGACATACTGATGAGATGAAACATACAACTGACTTCTATTTTAATATTGCAGGACATCAAGCTATCCATTACTCCAGGTAAAAGAAAAGTGCAGGGCTTGGCCTGTTCTGATATAATCGTACAAAACTTTGAATTTGAAGTGGTGAATGGTAGCATGTATGTAACAGTAAAGTTTAACAGAGATTCAACACCTCTTTGCAATTACATGTCACCTTTGGCCGTAAAAAAAAAGAGATTCTGAGTTCAAGGATACCTGCAGCCTATACAAGTATGTTACACTGTATCACATCTGAAAATTACTGGTGGTAATTTATGGATGAATTTGTGAGCAATTGTTATTTTCAAATGCTTGTCCACATACATATGTGGACAAGCATTTGAAACATAAAAATGCATGTATGGAACATGTTTGGTTTGGGATTATTTTACTGAAAAACATCTGGGAAACAGAATATATTCCAGCACAAGAACTTTAAGCTGTCACATTATCACTCACATGTGGCAGCACCCGCAGTTAGCGACAGCTGTTATAGACTATTTCTGCTTCTGTCCATGCATTAAAAAAAATACTAAAGCTTATGCAAGTTTTAAAATGTTTATACTTCCATGGTGTTCACCTGAGTCCACTGCCTCACCAGTGAAGCACTCTGGCCTGAGTGAGGAGACAGTAAAGCTTAAAGAGAAGATAGCACCCACTGTTTAGGACTGCAGATAAAGCACAGACTGTACGTGGAACTGTACGTGGACTGTACGTGCCTTAGCACTGGTGATTTACAGGTGGCACTGAGGAATTTGGGACAATTTGTAACTTCATCTCCATCTGCAGTCATAGATGTTGTAGCAAGTTTGTTGATTGATAGTGGTTGCATGAATGCTGGCAGCCGTTGTCATAGAATCATAGAATGTTATATGCCACGTGCAGCTGGTGTTGGTTATAGAGATATTAGTGATCCCAAAGGGGTATGTACTTTTTTAAGAAATCAAACATTCTCATGCTTTCATTAGGTCTTTGCATTGCTTTGTGTGAATTTCTCCAGATTACCGTTTCAGCTATGCCAACCTCACTTGTCTCCACTTTCCACTCTTTTTTCTCCACCCTCCCACAGGGTAGGAAGCAAGGTTGTATTTTTCTCCTCAGAGTTACAATGTATGATGAAGAGATTTCCTTCTCTTCATATCTTTTTGGAATAGGGTGGATTCATAAACACTGTTAGGCATATGCGGGTATTCATGTGGCTTGATACCTTTTGCCGGAGACCCCTCAAGCTAAGTAATATGCTTGACAGACTATACTGTTATCTGTATCTTAAGCATCCATTTCCAACATCCTATCAGAGAAAATATCTTGTTTATTCCAAAGCATAAGTTTGTCAATCCCAAATAATCTTTACTTGGCAGAGGAAGTTTGTGAGAAAGAACAGCTGTCAGAAAACGAATATCAAAGTACCAAAGGCTAAGTTATCTCCCTTTCCAGAGGCAGCAGCGATCCGTTTAATACTGCTTTATCTGTGCAACTGTATGTTTCCAAGATTAGGCTAAAAACCTGCAGATTCCTCTAAAGAATATTTGGAGAAAAATTTATGAGTTATGTAGTCTTTTCCAGGTGGGGATCTACTCCTCTGTTCCCCCCTCACACACATATACTTTCATTGCAAGGCAACATCGTTTGTACATCTTCAGTAAGTAATTCTTATATAATTTCTTTAGTTATAAGTGAGCATACTCCATCACAATCCTGTCGCATAACTATTTTTAATACTTTGAAGATATGCAGCCTTAAATGACTTTTTAATTATTAACAGTTGGGGGCAGTTTCACCATTCTGCAGCCTGATAATACTGGCTAATTAAGGTGGGGTTTTTTTTGGCAGAGCAGCTGAAGTGAGCAAAGGAAAATGCTTTTATTTTGTAATGGATTTGTTTATTCAGAAGAGCACTATGGAGATGAGTATCACCAAGATGAAAACACACACACCGAAAAAGAAACCACCCAAACCAATGTAGAAAACCCCAAACAAAAACAGAAGACCCATTCATGTACAGTTAAAAGCCTGTACAGTTAAAAGCTCAGTGTATGATCAGATTGTAGTTACTGAGCTAAGGTTACTTTTTTCATGGTGCAGTGGAGGCAGCAGTGCCGCAGGGAGCTTTATGAGCACACATTCCGAGTCCTGTCACCAGCTGTAGGATCTTTACAGAACGGTGGTGGCTGAAAAGAAGGGATTTCTCAGCGATAACTTTTGAAGTAAGCTCCTTCTCTATGTTGCTCCACTTTATAGGATTGCCGTGCGAGAATTAGCTGGAGAGAAAAGTTTATCACTGTCCAAATGGCCTCCCACGTGTGCCCTCGGACTGATTTTACTTGTTGTTTGTCTAATCACAGCAATTAAAGACTTAACCCTGAGCTTCGTTACCACCTTACTTCTTCATAGAACATGTGCTTCAACTTTAAATGACCAAGCTGAGAAGAGCCTGCTCCCTGCTGCTGCCAAAAATCGTTCTGAATAATGCTGAGGCTGACCACAGTGCTCTGAGGAATCAGATTTTTCCTTATTCAATATAGATGTATTCACTCACAAATCAGGGAATTTATGCTTAAACTTATATTTAGAGAACTCATTTTGTATTGGTTGTTCAGATTGAAGAGTATGTGATGTGTTTTTTAAACATAGCAGGACTTGAATTATTTCTTTTGAGTGTGAAATGGAGCCTGTTCATGGCTACAGAGTCCTGACTGATACCTCCGTGACCTAGTGTTCACTTGGTTTTCACATGTAATGACACATAAAAAAATCCCTTTTTTTTTGGTGTTAGATATTACTGCAATAAGATGCCTTCAAATTGCAGGAGAGTTCACTTAGGATACAGTATTTTTCCAAAGAAGGTTGAGTTGTTACAGTAATCTCTGGGAGAAGATGACTTCAGAAAATTATAAATCAGGGGCACGTTAGTTCTGTTTCAGTTCCATCTGGGAAAGGTAGGGCTTCCTAATTCATGGGTGTGTTATACCTTATTATTTGTATTAAAACTGTGTTTCTCAGAAGAAGGATGTTGCATAAGAGCAAGAGAGGAGGTGACACCTGAAATCACAAAATCCTTGAACAATGTGTTGGAGACAACAATGCCTGATGACAGAATTAGGTGTCACAGGAATGAGTATCACTGAGAGAAAAAGCAATCTAGTTACAGTTTTTCATTTTCAGACCAATTTTCAGGTTCTCAAATCCACCCCTGATAAGTAGTTAGTTCCCATAGTTTTTGCCTGCTCATTTGAATATGATGTATGTTTGCCATCTCTTCATATTATGACGTAGACTTTGATGCCATCTATGGTGCCTAATTTTTAATATGTTTCAGATTTACCATCTTCATAACTGTAATTTCTGTCATTGCATGTGCTTTTTTTTGTGGCTCATACCTCCTAACTCTGACAAAGAAAAATAGTTTTACATGCTTTCCATGTAAAATGTAGCTAAACTGCATTCTGTAAGTTAGTTCCTCAGAAAACAATGATAACTAATCTTTAACTGAAGTTTTGTTACAGCTGCTAAATATTTTAGAGGCCAATACACAATCAGCTTTAAATGTAAAAGAATATAGCAAAGGAGTCACTACATTAGAGTAGCCGTGGGTCCTGACAACAATTTTTTGATGTACAGTTTTTAGAGTAGCTTTTTTGCAATTAAATATTGTCTGTTCAATATTAAGATTTCATGTTTATGGAGCAAATGAGATGTTCCTGTAACTGGATATAATCCAAGAAATTGTGAAGTTGACAAATGTGTTGCTATCATCAGTATGTCCCTGATTTTTTCAGTAAAATGCGGGAAAGCAAAGCATAAAAAGAAAATAAACCCTTATGCTTGGAAATACCATTTTTGTTTGTTGCTTTCTTGATGGTTGCAAATTAAGTTTAATTTATGGTGCTTTGCATCTTGTTGATAAGAAAATTTCCTTCAATACTGCCATAAGAATTTAGGTTATAACTTAAGTTAGGTATTAAGTGGGGATGATCAGGAGAGTCATGTAACATAAGTGTTCCTGATTTGTGCTAAAATGTTAACATAGATAGGTGAGTGGATGAGGAATGATCCAGGGCAAAATCCAGATGCTTCTTTTTTACCTTCTGGAGGTACTGAAGCCATATTCTGCTAATGAGCACTGAGTTTCCTTTTGTCTGTAGTAAGTCTCCTGTGAAGAAAATGAGCTTTTACTTGATTGACATGCATCTTTAATTGGGGTGGAAAATGAGAAGCTAGTTGAGTACGCTTTTGCATGAGAATCACTGGACAAGAGAAATAATGTAACTTCTGTTAACTTATTTGGGTCATATGAGCTGCAGTTACTGCTATTTGTATGTTAGAACTCTGTTAGGATTGATGACTAAAAACATATACTTAAAGACATCTGTAGCAGGACTCAGTGTGAGATTAAGATGACTAAATTTGTGTGTCTATACGACAATTCAACTAACTGAGGACTAGATGTCTACTTTAAAGTGAATTGAAGAACTGGTCTTCCAACTAGCCATCCTGTCTGATTGCTTCAATGTTGAGGTCTAGTGTCATTTCAGATGCTCTATAGAGTTTGTTATCTGTCCTTCAGGTGCTGCACTACAGGAACAGGGCTTCTTACAGCTTGTTGGCCATGTGTGTGAGTCCTAACCAGCTGTCCCAGATGCTATAGGATGTCTCAGATGTCAGTGGACAGCTGCCCTTAGGCAATGCATTGAGTATGGCTGTGGCTGAAGACAATCATTTGTAGATAACCAGGGCTGAGTGCCTTCATCTTGATCTTGTATCCCATCCCTAGCCTATATTAATGAATAATGTCCATCTCATTTCAATGTGAAGTCAGCATTACCTTTGAATTATGCAACCAGAAAGAGAGTACTTTTATTTATTTATTTTTAGTCTTTAACTTCTCTTCTGACTTACTGGTTTTAATTAATTCACAAAGTAAAATACCTTTCTGTTTTAAATGTATTTTTTACTACTGAATTATAAAATTATATTGTTTATTACTGATTTCTAATAAAAGCCTTATAGAGGAAGCTGTCGCAAAAAAACCCCTAGATT